ATCATAGCATGACCAAGCTAGAGAGTTACCAAATAGTCAAAGCTAGGCAAGAGCCAGAGCCATTAACTTCCTACAAACAACTGCAACATAAAAGGACTTTCACTTCTAGTAGCCATGTTTGAAACAGAGCAAAGTTTTCACATGCAGTTTCACAATTTACAAGCACAGCACCATAACCACATCATTGCTATTTCATTATTATTATATACTTTTTTTTCCTCATGCATGTGCTCTCTCAAGTTCAGATATTGTGTTCCAGGAAAAGAAGCTGCACCAAAAAGAGGTTTCTTTCACCAGTTCAGTAATTCTAAGCATTTCTACAAAACTAAACAAGATACAAGCCAAGTAACAACACTCAACCTCCTTCTCCTGGCCTACATAAGTTACGAAATCTCCACTTTAGGGGGTAACCCTAATACTATATTATACTGTAGAAATACCTTCAGGAGGCCAGGCAGCTGGTCACTACCCAACAGGGTCAGACAAAACACTGCTGGAGCACATTTTCAATATTGTAGTAAGAAAAACAAAATATACAGACATACTGACCCCCTTAAAATTCTTAACTCCTTAATAAAATAAAAAAAAAAATCCAAATAATTTCTACCATTAGTTCACCAGTAATAACGGACTAGGGGCAAACATGTCTGGCTGCAGGGAATCTTCTTCCTACCATTTAAACCTGCTGAAAGAAGTTGCTCGAGTTGGTACCAAAAATGGCTCACGCCCCAGTAACCATGTGCACGGCAGGACTGGCACCAGGATGAAACCCCCAGTCCAGCAGAACCAGGGGCTCACAGGCAGCTGAAACACAGTTTGGGGTTTGAAATTCAACCACATGTCATTTTCAGGAAGCTTGACAAGACTACTGCAGTGCTGCAAGCATGCACCTCTCACTGTCAACTCTCAGAAATATTTAAAATTTATTTATCCAGCATTATTTAAAAACACATAAGCCAATAAGCCAAGTGTTGAATTCTCTTTCTGAGCAAGGGACATAATCCCTTTTTTAGATCAAATGCTGCTACCTAGTGACACATGGGTGAGCAGTTAAGAAAACTGACATCTGACAGCTATTAACAAAAGCCAAAAGGAAAGCTTTAACAATGATACCGTAAATAAAACGTCAGTCTTCAACGTAACCAGTTTTTTAACCGTACCCTGGGTGTTAAAAGGGCAGTTCACTTGCCTCCACGCTGTTAACCTAGATCAGAGCAGGGGAGCGGGAAATCACTGTCACACACAGCTTTCAGAACAGAAGTACACCCAAAATCACTCTCAGAAGTTTTACATTACCAAGTATTGACAGCTAAGTCAGAAATTTAAAGCAGAAGGTTAAAAAAGAAAAGGAGTCATTTCCTGAAAGAACCTAGTAATCATAGCAGCTTACCGTAGATGCTTTCTTGGGAAATGCACTCACTGGCCCTTTTCCCTTTTACTGCTTGTCAAATGTTTTTGATGCGTTTTAGTTACACAGAAAGCACTCGGAGTACAGACTATCTAGAGGACACTTTGAAAAGTACACAAAGGTTTGCACTGAAGTTAACCTGCACAGCTCACCGTTCCAAAAAAGATGCTGACAACCTGAACGGCTGTGTGTACAATCCACTGTTAATTTCCATTAACAAATTACGTGTACACTTTAGAAATGCAAATGTCAAAGAACGTGCTGTAACTTTTCCTTTTTCAGAAGGCATACTAAGTACTTATAAGCAAAATGGTTACCCCTAGATGATATGTTTGAGATACAAGAAGCATTTAATGAGAGCTTAAGCTGCTGATAAAAAGATCATACACATCAATCTCTACCGACCCTCTTGTATCTGTTTGAGTCAGTAAAACTTCTCAACAGATTGCCTCTCAACACAGTAACTAACTGCTTGCATGGCATCTTACTACCTTCAGGTATTGCGGGGGGGATGTACCGAGAACATTCTTCTATTTGAAATCCTTAACTTTCAACTGTTTTTTTTCTTTTACACTTAGACAAAATGCCAAAATCCTACTATATTACATACACAATATGCTTGACACTGTTTTATTGTAAAGCATAATGATGCAAAGAGGAAAAAAAAAATAGAGAGCCACTCCCACCTAATTTTTAAAATCCTTAAATTATTTACTATTACTAATAGGCTAAAACAAAAAGCCAACAAGACCAAAACACCGAAACCCCACATCATTATCTCTAGGGCAGCAGCACTCTTATCTATTCATGCAACTAAAGTAAACATATGAGTGTGTTTTCGACTGTGTAGTATTAAAGTAGCAGGCTGAAAAACATGAAATATTCTTCTGTTCAATAACACTTCTGCACTATAACATTTATTTTCATAAAAGGAGACTCTTTGTCCCACAACTCTCAGTCAAGCCACTTCTCAAGTGAGCAGACAATATATTTCAACAGCACTGATCATGTGGCCCAGAATTTGCAGGACATTACTTGCTAACACAGTTGTCACCACATTTTGTAACTTTGATAACAATAATCTTCAGCATTGTAAACAGGTTCTATCACACCTATCTGTAGAGCAGTTTTTCACCCCTCCTGAACTGTAAGAACAAGTCCTCTGCTGAACCATGGAGACAAAAGTTATTGTACAACAGCAAACTTGGCATTTGCTGCATAGGGAGAAAGTTTTAAAATGTGTTTCTATTTCAAAAGCCTGTATTTGCCCTTATGTTTTCTCTTTTGGAACAATCCCAGATTATCAAGCTTCATTCAATTACTGACTTAATTCTTCAAAGTTTAAAATATACATCTGTAACTTTTTTTAAAAAAACATAAACTAAATGCAAAAGTAAGCTTAAATATTAACAGAGCTTGGAATAAGTCACAATGTACATTTAGGATCTGAGGTTGTACAGATTAAGGTTTGATTTCTTAATTCAAAAATCAAGAATTTAACTTCCTTACCTAACATCACCTAAGAATCATATCCACTGTTAACACTGGGGTGTCCTTATTTGACATCCCCCGCTAATAAATGCCCTTTAAGAACAAAAACTTGCATGCCATTTATTTGCTTGGACACCAATTCCAACATTTTCTTACAGATACCTTTCTAGAAAATTAGATCTGCAAGTGCTAAACACTTCAACTCTGCCTCAGCTATGTGCCATGCCTTGACCCTAAGCTTTCACTTTAACACCTCTAGTCCTCTCTGGTGAAGGCAAGCCACCAAAAATGCTGCAAGGGTACAAAACCAGTGCCTGTACCCTGCCTTTATTGCTCTCACAGGGCTTTTGGGAAGATAAACAAGATGAGCCAAGCTATATCATACCACACCTCACCTGAGATTGCAGTTCCATCTCTTCACTGCTCTGAAGCCTTCCTGCATCCACCAACCCCAACAGTGAAACCTAAAAGTCATCCTATCTTTTCAGTACAACAATCATTTTGACAATGATAATTTTTGTAAACTATAGGGCTTTATGATACTATGGACAGATCTTCTTTTAGGCCAGAGACATGTCTAATTACTACAGTTAAGGCTCAGACCATAATTTAAGGGAAATAGAATGGAGATCTTGCTGAAGAATGATGTCAACACTGCATCTAGTGAAAACTTGCTTCTAGGTGAAAAGATGCTACTCTCTCTCTCTCTAGAGAATACAACAGAGGAAACTGAACAAGCTTTTCCAGCTCCAAATTTCTATTCACAGGCTTTTATTTATCGTTTTAGGGACTTCCTCTATATGGGTTTCCATGCAGAGTAAAACTCAAGACACTCCAAAAGGCACAGAGCCAACCTGCATTCAGAAGCAAGAATTTGGGACTCAGGCTCACACCACTTCGCTTTCACTGTTGTTTTCAACATACTTGGCATGGGACTAAAATACTCGGGAAAATATTATTTAACAAACTGAGCTGATATACAACACATTTAACAACACAGGAACTCTTATCTCCCACGGGATTAGTTAAAAGTATTTAGATTATCAAGGTTAAAAACAAGAGCACTGCCTTCTGAGCTAAAGAACCAATTCCATTCTGCATGTTGATGGCTGCATACAAAGCAATTAATCCGTAGGATCTCAGCACTGATTGCACCGCCGTTTTTAAGTACTTCCCTTCTTTCAGACAGCCATCTCTAAAATAATTCAATATACAAGTATCATAACTTGAGAGCTGAGTATTTAAGTTCTTCTTATTTCAAGAGAAAGAGGAATTTGCAACCTCAGTTCTGAAACAGATTCCTGTGTTGTGGGTTTGATTTTAGACTCACTATGCTTACTGTACTAACCTCATCTGAACTTAAACTGTTAGGCATATCCAGCCTCAGATACAGTGTTTCTCAGATACACATTAACACTTACAGTAACTCTTAGCACAGTCCGAGTTTGAACTTAATGATGCTTTTGGAACCACTTGCATCAATTCAGCCAAAAGACAGTCCTTGATCTGCGGTTAAGGATACAACAGGTCGTTTTGGTTATCAACAACTATTGTACTGATGCTTCATGTCAAAACTCGAGTTACAGCTGTTTCCCTTAGCAGGAAGAAAGCCGATGCCAGGACGCGCTGCTCAGCAGACTCACCCATCACTTTCTTGCCGTGATGAGCAGTTTTGCCTTTTATAAATACCAGTGCCTATGCATGTAAGTATTTCAAGCGAGGCGAGAGGAAAAACATGCGGCTGTCTTCTCCCGAGCTGCTTTCAGACAACAGCTTATGTGCCACACGTATCTCTGGCAGACCAGTCACATTCTCCTCCAAAATACAAAATATGCGAATTTCCCAGGAAAAAAAAAATAGCACCTTATACTCGCAGCCGCCACCACTCGCGGTTCCGCTGGTTTTTTTACCACAGCATCAAGACTTCCCAGGCGACTCGCTCCGAGAACGACGAGGAGTTTCACGGGGCGGGCGAAGGCTCGGGCGGAGGGCGGCCCCACCGGGGCAGGAAGCGCCCTCCGCCCGCCCGCCCCGTCCCGTCCCGCCCGCCGCCTCACGGCGCCCCGGCGGAGTCACGAGTCGGGGAGTTTCGGGCACTTACGTAACGCCGCGGGGCCGCCGCCGCTGTTTCTCCCCCTTCCCGAAGTCAAAGTCGCTTCCGAGGCCCCCCAAGTCCCTCAACGCCCTGGGACAAGCCAGCGCCCACCACCGCCGCTTCCTTCCCCGGGTCCTTCCCACCCCGCTGCCTCCCTCCCTCCCGGCGGGACGCGGCGCTGCCCCAGCCCCGCGGCGGGACAGCGGAGCTCGACGCCGCCTCTCGCCGGAGGAGCTCCATCTCCGCCAGGCAGCCCCCAGCTCCCAACATGGCCGCGGGAAAGCGGCCGGAGCCCCGGCGGAGAAGGGCTCCGTGAGGAAAGTTTCCCTCTCGCTCCCCGGCCGGCCCCGACCTGGGCCGAGCCCCCCCCCGGCCGGAACACGGGCAGCCCGCGCTGCTCACCCAGTGCACCCCGCTCCGGCCGCCGCCTGCCCCGCTCCCCGCACGGCCGCGGTCATACACCCCGCGCCGGGGGACGGGCTGCAGGACACCGCCCGGCGGGGCGGGGCCACCGCCATCTTGGGCGGGAAGGGCTGAGGCGGCACCGCCCTCCCTCCGTTCCCTCAGCGCCGGGCCGGCCCCGAGGGCCGTTCTGCGTGGGGAGGGCAGAGCGGAGCGGGGCTCGGCCGTTCCTAACCCACGAGTGGCACCTCGTGGAGGAGGGATACTCCAGACACGAGACTATTGTCTCTCGGTTTTGTTTGTTTGTTTGTTTTAAACCAACACGTTTCCATTCTTTGTGCACCATCCCGGGTTTATGCTCGCGCTCGTGGCTCTTAAGTATGCTCTCCCAACTGTAATTCAGTGTAATTCAGCGCGGGCACGTTTTTAACTACCTCTCTGTACTTAAAGTTTTATACAGCGCACGGAAGGGAATTAGCAACATTTTTCAGTCTGAAGAGTTGCCTGGTCAGCATGGAGAAAGTGTGGCAGATCTGCCAGAACGGCTCCCACCAGAAACGCTGTCAACACGAGGAGCCCCTTCCATCTTCTGTGTTAGCATTTTTAATGTCTACACATCAACAGAGCAATATCCAGACCAATATTTTCCAAATCTAGCCAGCTGCTCGGTAGCTAACCTGATCCTTCTCACATTTCCAGCCACTGATGGATGGTACAGAGGGGAAAGGGGGCTGGGGTGTTCTGGGGAGCCGCCGAGAAGGGGACACAGCACCATGCTCTTTGTAGTGTCACGCTGGTGCCAAAATCTGTGCTCTGGAAAATGGCCCAAGGGGCTTTCTTTTTTAAGAAAATTTCACTTACATGCAATATAGCAGTTTCATTTCCCAAATTTCACATTATTGAGCAATAATGTGATTGGCTTTTTTGGGGAATAAAAATAGTTTGGTGGTGGAGTAATAATGAACCCACTGAATTTTCTGAATTTCATCTGAATTTTCTGTCCCTGTTCAGACAGGAACACAGATAGATATGAGCCATATCACTGAGCTGGGTCTCTCCTGATGTGGAAGATGGACACAGGGAAGGGACCAGGACATGGAGGGCTGAGCAAGTGTGTCCACCCCCCCTACAGCATGGCAGCCTGGTCATCTGCTTCTCTCCAAATCCACCTGGTGTTCAGCCCGAGTTGTCCTGTGATTATTCTTAGTGTACTAATTTATATAAGGTGTGGACCAAGCTGTTTTACCCAAGGTTTTTAGAAACAGGTGCTTGTGGCAGTTTAAGAATTCCAGGTCTGAGAGTGTGTGCAGGGTGTATTTGTCAGGTGCTTTATGTGTAAAGAATTTTGGCACAGCCAATGTTTAAATTGGCCACCAGTGTCTTCATGTTGGGATTGCCAGCTGCACAGAGATCTTCACACCAGAGCATCTTTTATTTATGGGTTGGGCTGGTTCTTGTGAATCAAAATGATCAGTTTATGTTGTGACCTGTGGTAGATTTAATTTGCCCTCTAAATCAATTTTTCTTGACATCAGAAGCAGCTTCATGGTTAATTAACTTTTCTTTCATGCTTACAAAATAATTTTATAACGTCAAGTTAAGATACAGCAGAAGGTTGGATGCAGGCAGAGTGAAACAGTCCTGGTGTTTCTGCCTGTGTGTCTGTGTGTCTGTCCTGTGTGTCTTAATTCTCTTTGTGAAGTCCAAATTGACATTGTTTTCTGAAAGGTTCGCAAAGCGTTACAGCAGTGACATACTTTTTCTAGCACATATAGTCACGGAATATCAGTACAAGACTTTAACTCCAGTTAATAGAAGAATGAGCAACCTGTTGTCTGAAGAAGACTGTGAACTAAAAATGACTTAATGCTATCATGCAGAGCAACTTCAGCGCTATGAAAGACTGCCATAATTTCTTTCTGTTATCTTCCTATGATCTTCAGAATTCTTTTTTTCCTACTAAATGGAAGTATTTTTTTTACTGTGTTCAGCAAGAGGGGAAGATAAACCTGATAACAGTGTATGTTTGCAAACCCTCAAACACTTGTTCTTAAATCTCTCTATAAAAAAGTAAATATTTGACCTAATTTTTAAGTAGTGTTGAAAAACTTGGCTAAGGGTCAGTGACTCTTGCTTTGTGCTCACTATACTGAAATGGCATAATGATCATGTGTGCTGGTTTCAATGGAGTTTTTTGTACTTATCTATCTTTGCTCTTACATGTTAACTCTGTATCTTAGTACTGCAGATGCAGTCTTGCAAAAAAAATGGATGCTACACAGAAGACGCATAGAAGGCAAAGGATGGGAGACTGTGGGATGTCCCACTAAACAGAGTATATACTAATTTATTTTACTGTTTTTGTATAAGTAGGGTATTTCACATAAATTATTTAATTGCCATTTTAATTTAGCTGAAAAAATTTCTCTCAAAGCATAGTGTCGTCTAAAATAACATTTATTTTTGCTCTCTAATTATAACCTTACTGTTATGGTTTTGCCACAGCTACACTTTAAGGGTGGAGGAAATATATTCTTCAGAAGACATGATATAGCAATGATATACTGCAATACATGTCCTATACTATGCTTTCTGAATTGCCTTATGATTTTTGAATGGACACTGTTTACAAAGAGCTGTTTCAGGGCTTGCATTTTCACTTCAGATCTTCATAAGGATCACATAAAAATTGGAGCAAGTCTGTCTGGTGTTGAGCCAATGCAAATAGATGGTTCAGTAAGTATTTTTACTTCATTGTGTCAGTGAGACATTTGCATTATTTATGAAAGCTTCCAGTAATGGGCTGTCTACAACTCGCTTGGCTTACAGGTTTCTCTCAAGCAATTTGAAAATTGCTGTGAACTTTTCCTTTGTGCTGGCATATAATTTCTGATGGAACCTTACCGAGGTTGTAGCTTTGTTTAACATAAAAAAATGTTTAAATATTGTCAGCAGTGTTGATGGGTTTTTTAGCAGCACTAAAAAGTAATTTTTAAAAATGGATAGAATCCAGGATATCTGTAGGTTCAGAGATTTACTATCCTTTAAAAGTGTCTTGGCTTTAAAAGCTGGAGTTGGTGATTTTTTTCAAGTTTTCTGTTCAAGTGGAATTGGTTAGTTTGTAAGTGGGAAGGAATTATCTACTGGTAGTCAACTGTAGTTTTTTCCATGGAAGTCAGTTCTCTCTCCCACGAACTCTCTTTTTTTTTTTTTTGTAAGTGCTCAGGTATCAGTTTTACAATTGATGGGACTTGCAACTAGAACCTTGCAGCATATGTTGTCCTTGGGCTAAAATAAAATCTCTCTGCTTCTTATACAGATAAGTGAGTTCTGTGTTACAAAAGAAAACTAATATTAGAGGTTTAGTTCTTAGCTTTAAATATTCTTGATCAGCAAAACTCAGTCATGGCATATTGAAATAGGACTTAAATTCTTTGCTTTCAGTAACTTTAAAAAGTATTACAAACAATAAAAAGAAAATCTGTGTTTTGTTTCTTTATTCATTGAAAATCTTTTTGAAGCAGCAGTGTTTTGGCTTTTCTAGTTGACAGATGCAGAAATGCAGAATACCTTCCCAGCTTTAGAATACTTCCACTCCTTAGTCACCCACAAAAGGAGGCCAAATCCAGTAACTTAAAGCTTTTTAAGGGGGAATTAAATGCTTTACTCTCAAATATTGCCTTTTGTGAAAAAAAGAATGAATATTCATTGTATCACTTAAAAATGAACTGGTGATTCCTAAGTTAGCCCAGTCGCAGATTCTGTGCTGGAAGTTTGTTCTTGTTTGGCTCCAGTGGGTTGTAACCACCACTGTTGATTTGTCAGAAGTTTTGGAAGTGTCCTTCTGGGATGCTACTATCTTTTCTCAAGATTTTGTACATCCAGATTATCTTCTTGATTTGTTTGCTGCCTAGTTGAATGGAACACTATTGACTCTTCTTACACTTTAGCTGTTATTGCTGTCTTATCCATGAAGTGTTTTGTTTAGGAGAGCAGAGTTGTGTGTTTTAGGGATGGGGGTTTTAATAGGTACTATTCCATTATGGGTATTCTTATGTGAAATTTTTTTCTTTTCTTTTTTTTCCCTTTTTAAATTGTAGAGGTTGTCTATTCTATGGTCCACCAGGGACTGGAAAGACACCACTTGCTTGTGCACTTGCTAGTGAATGTAGCAGAGATGACAGATTTTAATAGGATAAATTCCAGCTACAGAAGAGACATAGCACCTCTCAAAGAGAGAACATTTTATAGATAGTCATGACTTTAGGTAGTCATTTATCATTATAAACAATACGCTCTAAAGAGTCACTCAAGTGCAGCTGCTTCCTTGTACCATACATCTCCCAAGCAGTCAATACAGTTCATGCAGCTGACACTACATGAAAGAGACTCAGCCTTGCTAATTGGGGATGGAATTATCTCCAGAGAAGCTGTTTTTCAAGAATCACAAAATGGTTTGGGTTGGAAGGGACCATATAGCACATCTAGTTCCAAACCTGCTGCCATGGGCAGGGACACCTTCCACTAGACCAAGTTGCCCAAAGCCCCATCCATCCTGGCCTTGAACACTTCCAGGGATGCGGTACCCAGCTTCTCTGGCCAATTTGTGCCTGAAACAGACACGGATCTAGCAGAAAGTGATGCAAATCTGCTGATTCCATAAACCTTAGATTTTATCTGAAAGAATGCAACACAGGGGGCACAACTGAAACACCAAGTAACCACCGCCCAGTAACGCCCCAGACCACCCACTCCAGCTTTCCTTACAGGCTTCCATGGAAGACTTGCTCTGCCAAGTTCAGGGAAAGACAAAAGAAACCATTACAGGAAGTGGAGTGAGCTCCTGCCTATAGAGTGTCTGTCTTTGACTGCAGTATGTGGACAAGACGAAGGCTCCTGAAGTGTTTGTTTTATCCAAACTGACTTGGAAGGAGGCAATTGTAACCACATTCATTTATATTAAAAAAATACCCTATTGAAGCATAATCATCTTCATCAGAACTTGAATGACCATAGCACTCACAGGTTTTATGTTTTCAAACTAGACAAAAATTACCATGTTTCTGCCTGCTTTCAACACAGGACATGAGGAGAAGAAAGAATTCAGATATTATACAATTTCTAGACCCAAAGTAAACCTCTGGCTTTCACAGATAAGCATTTCTGCAAAATGAGTTGAGATGCATCTGACAGGAAAAACTTAAGAGCACTTTCAAGTTGGAAAGCGGATTATCACCAACTATAAAACTAAGTTTGAGCTCAGTAAATAACAAATTTACGCTGCACAAACTGAACTTGAGTTACTACACACAAAGGGCATTTCAGACTGCTTCCCGCATTCAGCCCATGGCTGTCAGGATGCTGCCTGGAGCTAATAGATTTTCCCTGCTGCCAGCAAGTGACCTCACAGCACCAAGCCCGCTTGTGTACTCAGCACAGCAATTTGGTTCCAAGGTAAAATGCTCAACTTCAGGGACACCTTGCCCACACCAGTGGTTTTGTGCATCTTGTGAACAAATTACTTTTTAACTCTTATTTATAACACTGTAATATTTCCTCCTTCTTGAAAGAATGGTTTACAATTAATCTGTGTCTTGCAGACTCCAGAAAATCCATGTCACAAAAAAAACTGAGCTAAGGAATAGATGCTCTAGTGTCTAAGAGAAGGCAGGAATTCATACTGCATTCTTCCCAACCCTGAAAGGAATCAATAGCATCCCCTCCTATCTGGACCTACCTCTTTTCATAAAACTCAGAGGAAATTCACTAATCATAGAGCTATCCTCACAACTTCAGCTGACTTTGGCTGATGAGCTCAGAAGTTTGGGGACCAAGTTAACTAGACAGTGACCAAATGTAATCCTTCTCAGCAAAAACCAGGCTAAAATCCTAAGGGATTATCACTACTTACTTTCCTTATGGTCTTCCTTTTTTGGGCCCAATACCAGCTTTGCCAACTGCCTACATTAAGAAAGAGGACAGAGGAAAGGGGAACAGCATTGCTGAATTAGAAGTATTGTACACAAGTGTTGTATCACGTTGTATTGTACGTTTCCCAGTTGAGACTGGGGAACTTCACCGGGTTTATAACCCAGTGCTCCACATCATGCAAAGAAAAGCATGTGGACCCCAAGGAGGATTCAGACCCCAAGTCTGCTGGGTACCATATGCACACAGTTCTTGAAGGACAGGTGTTTCCTAACCTGGTAATCTTGATGTCTCAATAGGGCAATAATATCTCAGTAACCAGTTCAGATAACTATGTTCTTCCTTCTTTTCCTAGGAATGTTCAGTTTTTTATCCTCCCAGGATATTCCTGTGGAAGAACATGAAAATGTAGTTCAAGGATGACAGAAAAATTGGTCAGAAAATGAGAGAGTGATCTTTGTGGCTAAGTCTCCTTCTGGAAAGAAGAGTGTCACGCCTCCTGAACATTCTGACCTAAGAGAGGAGAGTGAAATGCTGGATTGCCAAAGAGCTGGAACTTCTGAAGATGGAGGTTCAAATTATAAGTGGAAGGTCAAACAAGTAATTGAGCTCATTTTTCTTCCTGAGGAGGGTTACACTATTTAATAGGTTTTAGCCTTCTTGAATTCCATTCTGTTACTTCTGTGGTGTCTCTCAAACCAGCACACAGTGTTTCTTGCATAATGGTGCTGCCCCCCTAGGTATGCTGGCCAAATTTATGTTTTTCTGCAGCTGCTGGTTTTCTGATTCTGCAGTTTGTTTTTCAAAACGTACCTAATGGAAAAACAATCCCTGACTTTCTTTTCTTGTATATCTTCCCAGTAATAAGCAGCGTAAGTTAAAAAGCCATACTTCAAGCAGCGTGGACTCAAGAGTCACCTATGGAATAGAAGAATTATGCCCTAATGTCTGTGATGCAAGATGTGTTTCCTAACCTAAATTATTTGCAGTTTAACCGTGCAGTGCTATAATGGCAATGTGACTGGTTTTTGCTTTGTTTTACCCTGCCTTTTTTCTCTCTTTTTCTCTGCTTTTTGTGTCCCAGTTTCTAATTTTTATGGAGCACTGACTTTTGCCAGAAAGTAAAAGTCAAGCATTTTTCAGTGAAAAAATGGTAACAGTTCTGTTATTGCAGAAGTACCTATTCCAGGTACACAATGTTTCACTGGTACCATATTCCAGATAGAGAAATCCCAGCTTAAGACATTTGTGCCATTCCAGATTCATGGGTACACAGTATGACTCATGCACAATGTTCTCTGGTGGATGAGCAACCACAAGTATGTGATGGGAGAGCAATGAAAATTTACAGACGGGGAGCATTTGTGGATTACTCTGAGCTCAGAGTAAGTCTAATTTCAATTTTGTTAATACTGTTTTCTTGCTATCTGTACAGTTGTAAATTAAGTTGGTTGTTAACCAATTCCAATTCAAACAATTTATGGGAGGTATTTTTAAGTTGTGAAACAATTCAACCTGTAATGGACTATGACTGTTGTTTCCACAGCTGATGTAGACTGCTGCTCTTGCTTTTGGCGAAGTAAATTTTAGGAGACTGGGTTCTCTTCCTAATTTTCAATGTAAAAGGGCTTGTTAAATTTTAAAACAGCTCCCTGACAATCTGCTAGTACTGTTGGTTATTATTTTATTAGCAGTTTTTATGATGGATTTGGAGAGGGTTGTTTTGGTTTGCTGTTTGCATGTTCTCATTTACTAGAAACCAGAAAAGGTCCTTGATTTTCAGCAGTGATGACTTTAAACCTGAAGTTTAGTGACCTAAAGCTCATCCTGGATAAAATACTAATACCTGATTTTCTCAAATTCTTTCAAAATCCAGTGTTAGAATTTTGCATTCACAGAGTTTTAGTATTACAAGGTTTTTCCAGTCTCCTGTAGGAGAGAAGTTACTGTCCTAGGCTAGAATTGGGGAAAGGGTCAAAAATGGGCCTAGCTGCAGGAGGTAAAAGAGATTCCTTTGCATGAATTGGAGAGGGTAGAAGAAGGACATGCCCTTCAGGGGATATTGCCATGAGGAAAATTCAGGAAACTGCTAGGTTGAAGTGCTGGAGGTTGGTCAAAGCAGAAGAGGCTGCTGTTTACCTGCAATGATGAGAAAGGGAGTTCTACTTGGATGTTTCCCCTGTATGGGAAAAATGTGACCAAAGTGAATCCCCTTTGGTGAAGGGCTTGTCAACACAATTTCTGTCATATTTTTAAGCTGTGACACAATTTGTAGAGGTGAAACTACCATTCTAAGGCTGCCTTCCTAAGAAAGAGAAGCCACACAGGTTTCTTCAGAGTCAGGGTGCTAACAGCATCTACTCCGAAGTTATTGCCCACTGGTATTTATAGATGTTTCAGCTTATAGATGTTTCAGCTGCAAGGAGAGAGCTTGAGTTATGAGACATATCTTTTGGAAAACTTGTTTCCTTAAAGTGGGTGCCACTGGAACTTGCTGCTTGTACCAGAGAGCCTCTTTGGAACTCACTGCAATCAATAAGCTCAGTGAACCTCCAAAATGGTGTTGTTTGGTTTTGTATGGGGATTTTTTGGTTAGTTGGTTGGGTTGGGGTTTTTTTGTGTTCATTTATTTGCCTGGCAACAGACACTGCACTTGATGAACAAATAGAAGAGCATGCAGTCACCTATGTGGCAGCAACTAGAAATAGTTTCAGACGGGATGTTGGCCACACACCTTTGTCATGCCAGACCTTTTGTGTCTGCAGCAGCTGAAAGCACATATGTGGTTTTTGTGTGTCTTCTCTGCACGTTGTATAGGACAAAGTTGAGGGGAATGCTCAAATCTTGTGGTAGCTGATCTGAGGGAGGCCGAGCTAATGGCAAGCGGTTGTGAGGCAGTAATATTTTTATTTGGTGTGGCTGCTCTTTTAAGCTACATCTTGACAGCCTTACATAACACACAACTACTGAACAGCTCCAGCAGTGCTGTCGCTAGCATGTTAGTGTGCTTTTTCAGAGATTATCACATTCACATCTTTGGTAACAGAAGGGACTGTCTGAGAGACTGGTAATTTGTAACAGTCACTCTGCTATTCACTCTGGGTTGAAAGGTAGGAGCTAACTGATGTAACTTTGCTTGCTGATCTATTTCAGACTTAAGCAGTGTGTTCTGCCAGCAGTGCTGTAGGCACAGTACACATTCAGCTAATGGCTAAAGGTGAGCACCTAAGGATGCTTCCGTTTTTGCCTGGCACAGATGTATCTGGAAGACCTGTAGCCTTGGCCTCCAAAGACACGTTTTCCAGGGCTCTGTATTGTGTTTCTAACAAAATGCAACCGTCGCTTTGCTGTAGCAGCTACTCTATAACAAAGTGGATTCTGTCATTCCCTGCTGTTTTGGAAGCAGTAGATCGGCAATTATGATTGTCGATGTCATAGATTGATGAGCAGGAAAATATTGTCAGAAATTTTAGCCTTCTTTTTTTCTTAAGTATGAAAAATTAACTCATTTTCTCCAGTTAAATCCTGTGATATAAGTTCTCTGAAGTGCCACTTTTATTTAACAATATAAGAAAGTAGGGTGTATCTTGCACTATTCTGAATTGTAATTTCCCTTTTTTTCTTCAGCAAGTGTTGCATTCTATCGCTGTGGTAACAGCACATCAGTGTATCTCACATGGCAGAACTATATTCTGCTCTTAGCCATCAGGAAGATGATGACAAAACCTAATTAGTGAAGGTAAATTGTTTTGTCTAATAGCACTTTCTGTCACACACTGTTATGCATGTGCATTATGCCTATGTATGTGTGCACTGTGACCATCACACTTATTTAGCATTACTCTTTACTGCTTAGTTGCCTGTGTTACAAGACTTCTTCATTTCAGTCTGGAAGACATTTATCCCTATTGCAAAACCACTGTTGTATTTGGTGTAATTGTTGGCAGTTCCAGCAGGAAAAGGCAGTGAGTCCACCCACACAGGCCTCTCAAAGCAGTCTGTCACTAGTCCTTCTCCAGAACCTTTTCAGGGGTGGGGGGCTGCAAAAGGAGGGCACTTTTCCCAGTCTGCTGCTTCATCTTTCTCCCCTTGCAGGCACTCACACATGGTAACACTTGTATGGTAGTCATTCCGTTCTTGAAAAGAAATTAAGTACGAAAACATTATAAGAATTTGAGATTTTCCTCTAGTCTCACCAGACTCTTTCTAATTAGCATGGCCCAAGCATCTTAAATTTGACATGTGGGGAGCTTTCTGCCTATGACAGTTTGATGCTAATGAGTCAGTCCCTATATTGTGTTGATTTGGATAGGTTGTATATTCAGATCTTTGAATAAGTTTTGTCTTTCCAGATGCTTGTCCTGAGAATAGATAAAATTCTTTATGTCTCCTAGTCTGCCTTAAAAAAAAAATAGAGGAAGCCTCTTCTCTCTGGCCCTGTTCATCTCGATCTCTTCTTCCACATCCGAGAAAGAGCTAGAATGGATGTTCTGTCCTGACTGTGCGCAGTGAGGATTATTTGATTCAGGAAGGCCATTCCTGAAAATGCACCCTTCTCTCATCTAATGATGTGTTTTAGCATGAGAAGGGATCTGTTTGTTATCTCAGGGCTTGTGAGCTTTTGTGACTAGACTTGATTTCTGTGGTTTTCTAATTCTACCTTTAGCTTAAACCAAAAAATATCTCCTATTCAGCGTGACTGTGTGAGCCAGTCAGGAGCTGCTCTACTACATGAAGAAAGAGATTTTTAACAAGTACTTGTTCAGAGTGCAGAAAAGAACAGTTCCAGCTTTCAATTGTGGCTCTTCAGCAACTGTCTTCTTTCTCATTGTTGAAAGTACCATTGATAGAGATCCACAGTCCTCTGACACGGATTCCTGCAGTCTCTCTAGCCTACTCTCTATTTTGGGTGCTTAGGGATGCATTTGAAGCTAGTGGTCTAGAAAGTCTTTGTGATGGCATTAGCCTAAACATATATTGCCTAAATATTACTAACAATTGTATGTATGTACAGATTCTTGATCCTTTTGATGAAGAAGTACACAGGGTTCTCAAGCTGTATTCATGCTGACTCGTGATTTGTCTTTTTTTTTTTTTTGTTAGGCAATAAAGAAAGAAATTGCAGCCCACAGTTGTCTGTGATACTTGACTTGACATACACGAATGATGTACAGCTCCCACATAGATAAATTATGTTTAACATATCTCAGTAATTGTAGCAGCCATAGAAAAAAAGAACAGAAGAAAGAAACTTCTTTCAGTACCTCAACTGAAACCAGGCATAACGCAACGCTGAGCCAACAACACTTGGTGAAAACAACTATAAGCCAGATTACAACAAAGAGGAGAAATAGGACATTTTGTATATGGCACCCACTTCCATCAAGAAATAAAAGGAGACAATACTAATGAAAGCAGACTACCTTGTTTGACAGGTATTTAATGCCTCCATTCACAACATTGTCCCTAAAGGAAGAATCAGGCATGGCCATCTGAGGGAGAGCTGTTCCCTGAAGGATATAAAGGAGACACAGACTGACTATTTAAGCAGCCTCCTGTCATTTGCAATTCGAAATGCTGCTTTACTTTCTGAGGTCATTCAAAACTGTTTTTGTGACTGAAGTCACAACCTGAATTTATTTATTCCATATCCTGTTTACTAATTCACTGATAAGTCCTCCTTACCATGCTAACCAATCACTGCATCACATGGCTTCTTTCTACACAAGAACAAATCAACTCATCCATTGATGTCTTTGTGAACACATTGTCAAGATTTGTTCCACTTCAACACCGAAGCAAAGCACTGGCCTTGTGGCCTAGAAAGAAGATATCACTGTAGCAACTTGAGGTGCTGGTGATACTGCATGGTTTCCCTTCTCTTCCTCTTTACTGTACTGCACTCCTGCCAAAAGTTAACTTTACAGGAGAGTGATTCCTTTTGAGAAGACAGACAGGGTTGCCTCAATTATCCTGACTCAGCACGTTTGGAACAAAACAAGGACCAACTGCAGAAAGAGACATTTGTAATGCTTGCTCCAGAACACAAAATAAACAGAGCGAGTGCGCAGCTGGCCTGGTGGCAGCTACAGAGCCTAAGCCTTTGCTCGTCGTTTGGCAGGAAGAGCTGCAGTGCCTGCATAGGAATGAAACATTTTCTTTTCACCAGATCTCTTTGCCACATTCAAGAACACCAATAAGATACAGCAGCTGACTGGAAAAGAGGACAGGGCCTGTTAGGATTTTATGTTAAGAAAATAGCCATTTTACTCCCAATCCAGTACATACAGATTCTTCTAGGTTTGTATTACCTTGATTACTGCACTTCCAGTAATACAGAAACCAGGATCCTGAGCTGAACAAATTGAAAAAGAAATGTCTTGGGAATAAGAAACTGCAAAATTAACCAAGATCTGTATCACAAACCAACTTCAAACACGTAAAACAAAACCACCAAAGATTTCTACCATGCTGAAAGTTTGTGATTAAAAAAGCCACAAATCTTGGTCTCAGAAGTTCATTATGTAGCATTGTACACTGAAATACAGGATGTTGTTATGCAGCCAAGCATCTGGGGAGATTAACCATGATTAAAAAAAAAATCTCTGGGAAAAGCAGTTATTTAATAGAACAAGGATGACGGCAAAACAAGCTACCGGATTTGTGCAATTGAATCAAGCTGGATGTTAGGAACCATTATTTTACCATAAAACAAATCAAACAGAAATATTTACCTTGATCCTAAGGGATGCTGAGTACAAAGCTCCCAGCAGTTTCCCAGCAAAAAACCAGAGCAGTATCCTTACAGACAGGGCGGTGTAAAATGACCTGAAGCATTCAGGAATATGTTTCTTCGTAGTACCAAAGAAAAGGAATTCGGGGAAGCCACGTAGGAGGGTGTCCTGAGAGACATGGTAAATACCGAGCAAAGGGGATGTTGAACCCATGTTGCAATGATAGCTGTGGGCAACAACAGAGAGACTAAAGGCCGAGAGGAAGACACAGCCAAGCCCAGAGCAGAGTGAAAAAGCCAGAGATAAAAACTGTATAGGGTTCTCTTCCTATGTTGTAAAGCTATCCTCCCACTACCTACAGTCACATCAATGCTCATTCTCAACACACAGTTAAACTCTGCACTACAGCTGTATTTCACCATTCTGAAATTCTACATAAATACTACATAATTAAAACAGCTAAAGCTTTTCCTGACAGTTTTCTTGCATTCAAATATACATGCTCATTCTTCCAAGTATGAAGCATCATCACTACTTGGAAGAAGCCTGCTCCTTGTACTGAATAGAACTGCTTAGCTGATTTATAGGGCATTTACTGTAACTGCTTCTGGGCATAAAGCAAGCAGATTTTGTTTGTTGGCTTGGGTTTTGGAGGTTTTTTTTGCTTTTTTCAGTGAAGAGTGACAACTGTCAGAAGTATCCATTAGCACAGAATTTGTCCAAGAAAAATTCTGTCATATTGCTGTTATTACAGGAAAGACAAGAAAAGTAATCTCAGACAAGGACATATGACTTGGCAGACGTGAAACAGAGATATCCAGCCTCAAATTCCAAGAATAAACTTAACTACTGCCAGCAAGCTGACAGCTACAGTTCATGTGCATCTGCTGTTTCCCAGAACTGCACTTTGCAGAAGTGTGAAGTTAGACACTTCACAATTCTATCAAGTTGAGACATTAAAGAAAAAAACTCAGCACTCTGAACCCATATTAAAAAAAAAACAAAACAAACTTTAATATGTTTTTTTCCAAGATCTAATATACAAATGCAACGGTAATAATGTACTCTTCTTTTGTAAGCTTGGATGAAATATATTGAAGTCCACTTTTTGCATGTTATGTAAAAAATCATCTAAAGCAACCTAGAAAAGAAGAAAAAAAGCTTAATCCATATGGTGCACACAAATAATTGGGCATTAAGTTTAAAAAAACAATACATGAAACCAAATGAGAAACTGCAAAAAGGCTTGACAGTTTGTCTGTGTTATTAAGTGGTAGCATAACCATCACATTTCAAGCACATAAAAAAATCAGGTTTTGTGAAGAGAAGCATTATCTTTTACTAGACCAAACAGCAAATTATAAAAATAGACAAGATTTTGGGCTCTTGCATCAGAATGGCAGTCTATGAATATACAGACATCTTGGGTGAAATGATGTAGTTAAAGGAGAAGGATTAAAAGTGTTGATCAAAACTGTAAGGCTCCACAGTCAGGCACACATTATGATTGATCTTTGTGAGTTTTAGGTATTACATCCTCCCAAAACAGACACATGAAGCAGTAGTTAACCATGCTTAATTTGATACTCTTCACAAACATTAGCAGAGGAATGAGTCCATCACTTAAAGAGTGCATGATATCACACCCACCGTACAGAAAAAAGCAGGATACGCCTTCGCGGGAACTTTCTTACTGAAAGATCTAGCCTAAAAGTAAATGGGGTAAGGTGGGGGGAAAAACAAAACAAAAACAAACGTACTTATCAGAAGAATTTAACATTTCAGATTAAACATCAAGTACTATGTAGAATGGTTAGAGGCAACAAACTGTTTTATGAGCTTCATCCCTTTTTATTTTGACATCCTGAACGTGTAACTTTTTATTATATGCAAGCCAGCACCATCCCTCACTGTGTACAAAAGCAGTTACACAGTAAGTATGTAATACTGGGAGAGGCCCGCTAAAATATTTATGTGGTTTGACAGACTTAAAGATTACATATTATAAATCAATGTAAATTAGCATCCCTTGTTCCAACAAAGTCCCAAGTTGCATCTGGTTTAATAAACAATTTAACCTTTCCCCCACCCCACAACCCAAATAACTCTCTGCATGCCAATAGACAGAAATTATGGAAGACCAGAAATGCATTTCTCTCAGTGCATCTTTTTGGTCTAATGTTGCCATCAGCCCCAGGAGCCCAGTTGTAAATGCTCCCATTGCATTTCTGGGACTTCAAAATTATCTCAGTTCCTCAGTATTTACATATCACATCTAAAGCAAGGCTGAATCAAATCTACAATTTAAACTCATGTTCAGCTCAGGTTCCTCTAACAGAGCTGAAGCCAGTCTTCCTGTAATGTTTATTTATAAACACAAAATCCCTCCTTGTTTTGCCTTTTCTTACAGGTTAAAACAAACCAACCCTTTACAAATACTGACAAGAACGTATGAGTTTCTGATAGTTTTTCACAGATTTTTCCAGACAACTGAGAAAAATCAGCCTGAAACTTTGGAAGGAAAAAATACTCAATCTTTTAGAAGGCAAATTATTTTAAAACTTTTTGTATATCTATCTCTAAAAAAGAAAAATGTTCCTCCCTGATCTAATGTCTTGCCTTACTATTATTAATTGCGAGATGAAAAAAAGAAGTAGTCTTGCTTGACTTTCTTAACCCAGAATGGGTTGCATGTCATTCAGAAAGCATGTTATCTTCCTTGGTAAATTGAGCCCATAATGATGTAGCATAACTGAGATAAATGCAAAAAGCCAAAAGGACACCCTCTTTTAACAAAGGGTGCTTAAGAGGAAGGAGGAGAATATGTAAATGTATTCACAGGCTTTCAAAGGGGGACTGTGGGACTGACAGAATGTTTATTATATGCTTTTATTCTAATAAAACACAGAACTCCTAAGGAAAACTACAATCTTCATTATCTTATTTTGCCCTCTGCTGGTCATCAGTCCCTGACCACACTCCTGAAATTTTTCTGCCAAGATTAAGGGCCACATTACTACAATATGCTTCCTATAGCATTGCTGAGACTCAATTCTGTATTTTAGGATTATATGTCTTCTGGCTGTGAAATGGGGCTGGTAACTGTTGTCCTCATCCTCTAAAATATGTGGTTTGTGTAACAAATGCTGAGATTGTCGAAACCTGTCTTCAGGTTTAAACTTTACCCTACCCTGTAATTCCAACTAAAACAAAGGATAAGTGGTTCAAAAGACCCTCAGGCAAAACAAGATGGTGATTTTATACAGGAGAACAGATGCATTTAAAGGCACCAGCCCACTACATTCACCTTAAATCTTGAAATACCCAGCAAACCTTGCCAGCAAAAGCCCATTTCAGCCATTAGGGGAGAAAGTACCTTTGTCCTTGCATTAACAAAGATCATCTGATTATTAAGGAGGCCAATATCCTGTTACTGCTGCCAGTTATAGCCAGTTCAAGTGCTTTGAACACTCTATATAGAGATCCTGCACTGTCAACTATTCTTCACTGATGACGATGGAGCAAGTATTCAGAGAGGAATTTTTAAATTTTAATTAAGGTGATATAACCCATCCATTAAAAGAAAAAGGGGAGAGGGTGCCAAGACCAACATTCAGTTGAATGAAATGCTAATGCTGCCCTAATCTGGTTTCCTCGTGTTTATACTTTTCTGTATAGTCTCCAATTACATGATCACATTGCATATTTTCCTCAGGACCCTCCCAGTGTATAACATGGGCAGGGCTCTAGGAATGCAGTGGGAAGAAAGGAGGCCTGTTCTCTTCAGAAGCTGGTAGGCATTCTGGAAGCGAGGGGACTAAGGCAGTATGAATTATCAAATTATCTGAAAAGTTCTGAAGAACTGAATTCTCTTCCTGCTTCTGTCCCAAAGTATCCACACAATACCAGGAACCAAATTTTAAAGATGTAGACCATAAATACACATTATTCATTTTCCATGCCTCCCGTCCCTGATATGAGGCATTTCAGACCAGGCACTTGGCATTTTTGTAAGCCACAATTGCAACCAAAGTCAATGGGTTTTAAACGCTGTGCATTATGGGATGACAGGTGGAGAATAAAAAAAGAAAAATCAAAATATTTCAGCTTGAACAAAGGTAGTGGACAGTTTTGATGTTGCATTTTCTTTGCCTCTGTTCCCTACTTCTAAATGGAATAAACAGTTTTCCTGGGCATGTGACCACAAAAACTGAGACATCAAAAGAAACAGTGTGAACAGGAATGCGTTAATGCAAATTAGAATTAGTCTATAAAAAATAAAGCTCAAGGCTACATAGAATCATAGAATGGTTTGGGTTGGAAGGGATGGTCTGGTTCCAACCCCCCCTTCCATGGGCAGGGATACCTCCCACTATAGACCAGGTTGCTCAAATCCTCATCCAAACCGGCCTTGAGCACTTCCAGGGATGAGGCATCCACAGCTTCTCTGGGCAGCCTGTGCCAGTGCCTCACCACCCTCACAGTAAAGAATTTCTTCCTAGTATCTAATCTAAACCTGCCCTCTTTCACTCCCCTTGTCCTACATGCCCTTGTAAAAAGTCCCTCTCTGGCTCTCTTGTAGGACCCCGTAGGTTCTGGAGAGCTGTTATAATATACACATACTATTAACATAAAATAAAAACATTAATCAATTAACTAACACCTGACTGAACAAACCAGAGATCCCTCATTTTACCTTCAGAAAAGGGCTCTCCTATTTCTACTGCAAAAAATCCTGTGATCACAGATAATGCTGTAATTGAGGATTATATCAATGGTGCAAATGCAGAGATAAATCTGGCATTTCTTTACTCTGAAGTGGTATCTTTCCAGACTACCTTGACTGGAAGCACTGAGGGCAATACTCAAAGTATACACAGACATGTACTTGTAGACATAAGCAGCTCTTTACAGTGCTTCTTGCAAGTTTTATTTTCCAGATGGAGGCAGACCAAGCATTGCTGATGAAACATTCTTTTGCTTTTGTACTATGCACCAACAAGCAATTCAGAGTGTAGCTAAAATAAAAGCATGAAAGAAAAATAGAGTAGAACTCTGCAGTTCTTCGGGGCTCATAATTCACTGTTCCAAGCAAGTAAAGTCTTTCATAATTCACTTGGCTGTATGCCAGAAAAGATATAAACAAAAAACACTTTACCCAACATAATTCTGGGCATGGCTGGTCATGGTAGGGAATGAATCCCCTCTCCCACACACACTAACCAGCAGTTAAAGGCAACATGCTCTGTTTTCCTGGCAGCCATTTCACTGTGCTGTGAAATACCATATGCAGAGGTGCTTTCTATGGTGCTGATCCCATGCTGGCACATAGCTGCATTCACGAAAGTCTGCCTGAAGTTTCTCTTCCAGTAATAAGTCGCTTAGGCAGCATTTATATATAACAAATTGGACCTGGCTGTGAGTAAACTGTCTCCTGTACATAAAGATAAGTATAATATTCATAAAGAAGTAGTAATATTTAAAGGTTGGGGTTTTTTTAATTTAAACTCCCAAAATAATTAAAGGCAAAATATTAGAAATTAAGTATGCAGTTTTAAGTCATATAACAACAAATCAGTTATGTTTATTTAAATAAATAAAAGAAAAGGAATCTCACATGTTCTAGATGAATATGGGCCTGGCTGGCAATGTCATAAATTACATCTCTCACATTTTTCTCTTGCTTGCCCCTTATGAAATCCTCTTGTGAAACTCCATGCTAGACATAGGAAGGAAAAACAAAATCAAAAAGAGAAAAAAACCCACCATAAATACCAATTTTCCATTTTAACTTCTCAAAAATATGTTCTAGCAACCAAACTAAGGACAAAATACTAAAACAGCCTAAATGTTTTACTACTGCTCCCTCCTTTTTTAATGCCTTTTTTTTTTGGTCAATCGCTTAAAAAAAAATTCAAGAAATCACAGAGAACAGTTGGTACAGATTCTTTCTGCATGATTTTGCTCCCTAAATCTTTGTGGTCAGTAGGACAACCAAGTCAGATTTTAAAGTTTGGGGAATTTAGATCAGTTTAAATACCCAATTTTTAAAACCATGAACCAAGAATAGATATTAAGCAGAAGCAAGCCAGTAACAGCTAACACAAGAAGCCATGCTGACTTTTGAAATTTTGGGATTGGTGTGCACCACCAGGCTTGCAAAAAAACCCAACCAACCAACAACCAAACCTCAAAAACCAAACAGCAAAAAAACAGATCCACTGGAAAACCACCCCTCCAAACCTCAAAAGAAACCAACCCCAACTTTATTCTTTTACTACAGATACTAATGTGAGACACAATATGGCATATTCAGAATTGCACCAGCTGCCTGTTCCTCTCAACAACAGTGAGGCATGTGAAAGCTGTATAAATGTAGGCTGGTGGGCTTCACAGGAGGTAGAGGCTCCAGGAGAACTCTGCAATACTTGCCAGCAGATGAAATGCTTACAGTCTTCAGTCTTCACAGAAGGGATGCAAGCTTTTTTTAGTTTCACTGCAAAACACCTTCCATGGCAAGGAATGACTGAATTTTCAGGCTATGTTTGAAAAGCTGAAAATTTGGAAGGCCTCCCATACCATGAAGTCCCAGAAGGGCTGCAAGCAGGGTGCAGTTCCTTCTCCAGTCTTATAACCCTGACCTATATTAGCATCTACATTTTTTGCAACTACCTACATTACTAAACTTCAAATCAAAACTTTTAATTGTATTGAGATTATATTCAGAAAATACTAACAAAACTGCCTTAGTCATCACCATAATTGCAAAAATTTTGGTTAAGGAGAAAAAGAACAGCATTAACATTTAGAAATAAAGACTGGAAATGAAGGAATTACAGTTGAGATGCTGCAGATCGAGCCACAGAACATTAATGAAAAATTCTGAGCTTTAATCCCATCCTACTTAAGTTGCACGGTGTGTTAAATTCCAATGCAAATTAGGTGTATAGTTTAAATTGGAGGACTATACCATCTCCTACAGCAATGTATGGAATGTGTGCCTATAGCTGTCAAATATGGAACAAAAAAACCCCCAAAACCACCAGTACATTTATGAAAAGGTAACAAAGAGAAATGCAAGAAGATTGTTCAGAAACAAAATTTCTCACAGTGCTTCCTTTATGGTCATATGAAAATTAAAAAAAAAAAAACAACAAAACAAAAAACCAAAAAAACCCACCACATCCAACCCCAAACCACAAAACCAAGGCCCCATTACATAGTTGCATTTTTATACATTAATGGAAAAATTCCTGAAAATTAAAATATTACATTTAATAAAAACAAACAAATAAAACAAACAACCCCCCAAAAAACAAACACACAAACCCCAAAACCAACCAAACAAAAAACCAAAAAGAAACCCTAGAGTTTCTTGAAGGTCACTCCTCTCACCTCCCAAAGGATACAAAACCATGACAATGGCATATTACTAGGCCACAGCAGAAAGTTAAATTAAAGAAAAAAAGTCCTGTTTCTTTCTGGCAGAATAAATCATGATCTCATATCTATCACTGAGAAACACAGTTAGAAACATTATACTGCTCAATTCCAGACAAATTGCTTCTCTCACCAACATACAAATGTCCATGGGAAGAAAGACCTTTTGTCTTGTGCTATGATACGGAGTTGCTCTTAAACAGGTAACTATGCCTTGTGCTTTCCCAATGTGACTGGCTGCATGGTCAGCATGGATGTCCCTCACACCTAAAATTGCAGAAATAATATGTTTAGAAACATGCAGTCAGAGCTTTTGAGGAGTATGGTCTTCCCTGATGCGTAACGCAGTCATACTTTAGGAAAGCTAAGTGCATTGGTCCATGACAGAACATTCTGTGCATAAATTGCCTTGAGATCTCATCTCAGAGGTGCAAAGCAGCAGGAAAAGTCATTGATTTCCACATTCGGGAGTAAGATGCCTATTATTTTGTTGCAGTGTCTGCAAAGGGTATACGTAGCACAGCAGCACCTATTCAGATAGAACACATCAGTACTCAAACTCATTTTCATTGATATGTCCTCTCCCAGGATATCAGTATCCCAAGAACTGTTTTTCCTGCCAAAAAAAGTCATTCAAGTGTGAGATTCCTGACAAGCATTAATCCTTACAGTGTGGTTTCATGATTAACTGCAGCTGATTCATCATGGTAGTGAAGCCAAAGAGAATGATCCTACGCTTCACCCCCCAAACCCATATTTCTGCTCCCTCCCTTGTGCTGTTTCTGGCAATGAGGAAAACTGAATCAGATCACCAAAACAACAGAAAAGTAACTTTAGTTACTGCACAGTCACACAACTGTGAGAACTGAAAGAGGGATCATAAAGCTGTAATGTTTTCACAGGACTGACCCAGGATAAAATGAAAATTTAAAGGAAAATTGAAATTAAAACTCATAAAAGCTCTAGCAGAAGCAGCATTCTATAAAGAAAGAAATGAGGATACAGGAATTACAGTCAGTGAGCCCAACTAACTTCTGAAAATTATACCAGGCATATCAGATTCACAGCAGAAGCCTCTCTGGGCCTTCAATGGGTCTCAAAAGCCTCTGCAAAACAGTGGCTATAAATTAACTACAGAGAAAGCAAAGTATGTCTTGGAGGAATCAATGGATATAACTTACTGATACTGACTGGGCAGCTCAGGATTTACATATAACTAGGAATTTGGGGGGAAAAAAAAGCTCACAGTTAGCAGTGACTCGTGCTCAACATGGGAATATATCCCAAAAGTGACATTCTTAAAAGGTTTAACAGAATTATTTAGTAGTATCAAACTCCTAATTACTGAGGCAATTAATCAGACAGCACAACCATTAATATTTTTAAATGACAGGAGTTGAGAGGAGGTACGAGGACTTTGGCTGACACAATTACCAGTCAAAATGAGAGATAATCTGAAATCAGTAAGAATAAAACAGCACTAGTACAGGGAGAGAGACACACTCACTGGAGACTGGTCAGGAACAAAGAATCTAAAAAGGACAAGAAATTTAGCAAACATGACCTGCAATGAAACCAGGTCCACCCAATCTAAAAAAGATTGCTGATGGGGAACACCAAGAAAGGGTTCGATTAGTTTCCCTGTTTATGGAGAAAAAATTAGAGAAGTTAACTGTTTAATATGCAGTGAAGGAGACTTTTGCTTAGATACTTTATTATATTCATATATTTAAGAGAAGTTAAACATGACAATAGAACACCTAGAATATCTAGAGCCTCCATAGCCATTTTCAAAAACAGATTTATCTATTTGTACTAGGAGTGACCCAAGCACGACTGAACTTATTCAGGATCAAAAACATTTCTCAGAATGAAAGACTTTGACATTTCTCATACTCCTACATTTCTTCAATCAGAGGTTCAGAAAGACACTTGCAACATTTCACTGATTTCCTACTGAGGAAGCAAACATCAGATGTTAAGAGATAAGTTCCTCATTTCTTCCAAAGAATAATGTGCTCACCATATCTCTTTTTAATTCTTTTCATTTCATTTTAATTAACTCTTTTAGCCTCAGTATTGGCCTTCCATCAGACTACTCTGATAGACAAGAAGAAAATATTGCTACTACAGTACTAAATACTACTAAATAACAGTTTTTTCCACCTTTTTTCTACATCTGAGCTCATACAGGAAATACTTCCATAGTGCAACAGACACCTAAAAGAAAATTACCCTTTTCTTCACTACAGATGAACAGTTCTTTCCCAATCTGTAACTCTTATGTTAGACACGACACAGAAACTAGCTCTTGACCACAAAGATTATCTTTGTTGCATTTTTTCTAGCTATTCAACTATTGATAGTTAACCTACTTCTAAGAGGATTCAGACCCAAATTTAAAACATCACCAAGGGAAGTTTATAGATTGGGAAGTTGGCTGTTTCAAGATAATCAGTGTACATCACTGCAATACAGAACAACAGCTGCAGAATATCTACAGCACCTTGTGTTCTGTAGGAAAATCTAAATATAGTGAAGAGTTGAATTTACCACACATAAGAGCAAGAAGAGACAAAACAAAGCAACAAAGAATGGAGCAGTAGGAAACTGCACTTCAATGAGCTCTGCACTGAGCAGCTTCCAAGGAAAGCATAGGTCTAGGATAGCTCCAGTACGAGTCCACATTCAAAAGATATATGAAGTATTACCTAAGGCAACTTCTATGAAAGTAAACTCCAGTGGGAAAAGAATGGGCTTTTTGAAACATCAATAAATATTGTACCTGCACTAATGAGTCAACAACAAAACCTAAAAAGGGCAAAACACCTACCCAGCATTTCCAAGGTGAGGTACAAGAGAGCACTCTGAGTGTTCTCAGCATACGTTTCGAGCTCCTGGATATTACGGTATGCCCTATCATCCAAATTCTTCTCCTGTAATATAAACACAGAACTTCAGTAAAACATAACTTCTATTTACACAAGTTTATTACTACGGTCATGGCAACCTAATTCACTAACAGAACAAAAAAAGGACTAAATTTAGAGACAGAAAAGTATAAACTCAGATAGAAGCAATCGTTAAAGCTTATAGCAAGTCTAACATAATCAACTACATGCAACTGCAGCCATGTCTGCTTACTGGAGCAAATATAACTTTCTGCAGTAATATGAAATCAGAATTCTTCATTAAAAAAAGATACAGCCAAAACAAAACATCATATGGTATTCTTACACCATGAGGTTTTCAATTTTAATAGTTATTTTGCAACTGAAGCACAGAGAAATTTGGGTAAATATGAATGTATGGTTTAAAACATGCATAAAATCTATCAAATACATACGAGTTTCAAAGTCATATCCAAATCATTGACTCTTAGAATCATGGAATGGTTTGGGCTGAAAGGAACCTTACAGATCATCTGACTCCAACTCCCCCTGCCATGGGCAGGGACACCTTCTAATAGAGCAAGTTGCAACCTGGCCTTGAACACCTCATGGGCAGTCCACAAACTCTCTAGGCAACCTGTTCCAGTGCCTCACCACCCTCATAATAAGGAATTTCTTCCTAAGATCTAATCTAAACCTACCTTTCTTCAGCTTAAGGCCATTCCCTCTTGTCCTATCACTACATGCCCTTGTGAAAAGTCCCTCTGCAGCCTCCTGTAGCCCCCTTCAGGTACTGGAGGGTGCTATAAGGTGCTATCCCCCAGAGCCTTCTCTTCTAAGGGACCAACAGCCCCACATTTCTCAGCCTGTCTGCATAGGCAAGGTGTTCCAGCCCCCAGATCAACTTAGGGCCTCTAATAAATAATACAGCCAAAAATAATAAAATACACCCAAATAATGTAGTATCTAATAAAATACACCAAAAAATATAACATCCTCCAGCATTCTTCCTGTCCTAGTGGTTTCTGTGGTTAAAACATACCAGTCATAGGATTAAGAACCAGCTTTAAGATTAAGAAACTCTGAAGTCTTTCATAGCAATGATACTCTGCAAGTAACTGACCATCAATTTTCTCAATGTATAACTTCATGACATACTAACTTTAGCAATAAAAATAGTTTAAGAAATTCCTGCCCCCCGCTTTTCATTCTTGCCCTTGTGTCAGAGCTGGTAGCAGCATCACTGTACCAGTGAAATTCTTCCTCGTTTTTTCCCAGAAAAGGGTGGATATTTTAAAATTCATGTGATTTGAATGCTCCAGTTTACAACACTGCTTAGGAAAAACTCCACAGCCATGATAAGAAGCAGAAAAGTGTGGCAGAAAGGTTCAGAAGGGGCATTTAATTTTTGAGACCCTACATCTATGTGGACTCACAAATTACACCTATTTTAAAGCAAAAATAAACAAAGGATTCTATTAGCCATTCTGGCCAGAAAAGAGCAGAAACTATGAAGAGTGGCATCAAGGGAGAATTAAAAAGAAATATAGCAGCATCATTTTTAAAGAGAAATACTGCTGTCTGGAAAAGATGAATTATATAAGCTTTTGTTCTACACATAAGCACGTAAAAATAAGGAAGAGAAAAGTCAAATATGACTAAAACTAGAATCAGACTCTTAATGGTAAATACTTACTCTTTCATCAATGATCTTCATGAACCACATTTTAGTCAAATTATGCCTCTTGACAGCCTGAAAATTATCAAATAAAACCTCCATGTTAATGTATACAAAGTGATGGTAGTACTGCATTCTGAAGGCTGAAATACATTTTAGATATTTAATACAAGAATACAGAGATTCAAATACAGAAATTTTCAAATGACATTTACTGCAATTTGTGTGCAAGTTGCTGCACACAAAAATGAAATATCGGACATCAAGCCAGCTAACTAAAAGCTTTTCTTTAAAAATGTTTTTGCAAGTAATTTATTCTTGGACTCATACATTCCCACATAATATTTGCAGAAAACTATGTTCACTTTCCAAAAAGAACAGTTTCCTCCAGAGTCAAGCAATAAAAAATACGTCCCCTATACATTTTCAAGAAAACATCAGTACAGCATACCAATACATACTGTAAAGACAGCAACCTAACAAAGTATTATACTGAATATTCTGGGTTTGTTTAAAATGTATCTCACAGCATCTCATATTCATACATTCTTTTGGCTTTTATCTTGTACTTAACTTCCTTCCTGTACCACTTCATTCTATCAACTTACCTTCAATCCTCTTAATTACACACATTGAATTTTCCAGAACACATTGTCAGAAAGGCTACACTCACACATATAAACATTTATAAACAAGATTTGTGGAGCAGATTTCTCACCATTTAGCTTAATAGCTCACTTTCAACTTCTTTACATCCATCATATTAGTAAATATTTTTTCAAGGTTTGACAAGACCAGATCTTGTTGATTCAACAAATTCTGCTTGAGACAGTACTCAGTATGTGAAAAGACAAATTTTAAGTTACAACTACAAATGTCAGCTTTGATTCTCACTTGTTCACCTCGAGTATCATTTTGTAAACTAAATCCTTTAAATAGTCACAGGTCAAGACTTAAAGCTCCAAAATGAATTCTGCTAAATTATGCAATTTGAACACTACATCCATTTTAAGCTACCTTCATTCAAACACACAGTTCCTCACTTCTCAAGCTTTCAAAACTGGCTTCTTCTACCAGAAACGAATGGAGAATTAGGCCTCACTCTTCATATGTTCAAAATGGACAGATAAGTAGGAATAATTTATACAGCTGCTGTATAAATTTATATTAAAGTCACCAAGAAATGAGCTATTAATAATTAAAGAAATGAGCTATTAATAATTAAAGAAATACTATTAAAGGCTATTTATCTACTTTACTAGTGCATAAAACTTTAGGAATCCAAATGTGAGTATTCTGGGATATACAAAAGTTCAGGAACACATTTAACATGTTAAATTAGAATTTATTCTGGAAAATCAAATTGTCCTCATATAAACTCAACAGCAAAAAAAGAGTACACATTGATTTTGTTGTGCAAAGACATGCTAATTCTATTAACAGCTCTGCAATACTTGTGAGTTCAGGTGTCTTTCCAAATGCTTCTTTCTAAGAATTGCAATGACATTCCTGGACATTTGTGAAACCATGATCTTCATATAGGTCATTCTTGGGGTATTTGCCAAAGTACAGAAATAAAAATCACATCTTGACTGAAAAGGTCGCCAGGTAAGGTTGAATTGTCAGTTCATTCCAGTGCTCTGCAGTGCTCAGAGCTTTCAGAGCTCCTAGAAATACCTTCTGAATTATTCTTCAACATCTTATTTCGCAACCAGTTCTGTTTGGATTATATTATATTGGTCTTCCTTTAGAGGAATCACACATGAGGTGAAATCTCACTAGAGAGATAGGCAATCCTTTCTTCCACTTCAAAATCAATTTTCTGTTTTGTGAGAAAGGAGCATGACTGGGCCCTAGCTGCTGGGAGGGCTGCAGTTGGTATCCCAGTATCTGAATGCTGTACTGGCTTTGGCTGGGATAGAGTCAATTTTCTTCACAGTAGCTTTTATGGGGCTGTGTTCTGGATTTGTGCTGGAAAAGGTGTTGCTAAGAACTGCTGTTATAGTTACTGCTGCGCAGTGATTACACAGTGTCAAGGCATTTTCTGCTGCTCACACCATCCCACCAGGGAGGAGGCTGGGAGTGCACAAGGAGTTGGGAGGGGACACAGCCAGGACAGCTGACCTCAGCTGACCAAAGAGATATTCCAGACCATTTGGCATCAAGCTCAGCAATAAAGTAAGGGGGGAGGTTGGCAGGAGGGAGAGGGCACCTCTGCTAAGAGACTGGCTGGGCTTTGATGCACACACCCTACTCTGACACACATATAAGCAGCCTGAAATTAAAAGCAGTTGAAAGAAAAGATACAATCGTATCCACAACTAACAGTGTACCTGACCTGCTCAATCAGACAACTAAATGAGAGGATATCTTCAGAAGCAAAAATAAGTTAGGCTACACTAAAGTTGCTCCTTAGAAAGGAGATAAAAGCATTTTGGGAGAGAACCATCTGGTACCTGGGAAGTTTGCCATTTGTTGGAAAAGAGACAGAGAGAAGGAAATAAAAGGCAAAAGCACAGACAGATTGATATGGTAAACGAGTGATTCTGCACTTTAATATCTGCATTAAAGTATAATGCTAAGTACATCTTCAACTCCCATAATCCCATAAAAAGGCTCACAATATTTGCCAGTTTTCATTCTAACTGTACGAACGCTTTGCTGTAGCTAAAGCACATGCTTTATCTGAGCTGGAGACACCTAGGAATAGCTCTGGTCTTCCCTAGAAGTGACTGTAACAAGTGCTTTATTTTATTTCCTGGCATTACCTATGTTTTCTCTTAGTTAAACAAAGTGTATCTTAGTTTAAATCTCAATTTTAATCTAAACATGAGTGTTGACAGACAGGAACAAATGCTCACTTATGCTTTATGTCACATTTGAAGGAGGAAGAGTCAGGGAGAGGCCAAGGTTCTTTGTAAAGGACTAATTTTTGTGGTCTCGGAGGTGCAGCAGAGTTGCATCCATCCCTGAAAGTGTTCAAGGCCGAGTTGGATGGGACTTTGAGCAACCTGGTCTAGTGGAAGGTGTCCCTGTCCATGGCAGGGGCACTGCAACTAGATGATCTACAAGGTCCTTTCTAACCCAGGCCGTTTTATGAGGCTGAGTGAAACCAAAACTGCAACAAGAGAAATGCTCTAATCCTGCAGAAACTGCATTGTTCTAACCCAGAGTTACACCAAGTGTCCTGCTTTTCCTAGGATTTTAACAGGAACAATGCAGATAAATATTTGGACAAAGACTCCACATTTCACTGCCTGTTTTTCAGCAGGTCCACAAACCTAACTACCTATGGATCTATGTCAACTGTATTCAGCTACTGAGGTTTAGACAAACTGCAGCTTTTCCTGTCCAGGAACTCAGAGATCTTTAGTTTAAATCCAGGTATGATCTTATAGAGTAAGAGTAGCTGTTCTTTTGGAGCACTTGTGGACTTGCTGCTCCAAAGACTTGCTGCGGTCCGTGGCCCTAAGATGTCAAGTTAACAACATATGGAATTTCCATCCCCGAAAAATTCAAAATTCACCTTAATGTGACCCTGATAACCTGATCTAACTTTGATGTTAGATCATCTCTGAATGGCAAGCTGGACTAGATGACAACCTACCAATGAAATCATTGTGGTTTTACATCAGCATCAAGGGGATTTACACTGCCATTTACACTGCCTTCAGACCTTCAATAGCCCATTGAACATATTAATGACAGTCCTAAGTAGAAACAGAAATATTTGGAAGAAAGCCTCTGTTTCTTTGGCCATGGTCAGCAAAGGGATAGATATGTAGGAATATTTCATGTGTGATGTTCTAGTCCCTGCAGAACTTGGGCATCTTGGTAACAATAAACTGTTAAGATCACAAGTACATCCTTGTTACTCAATGCACATAAAAAGATCTGTGCAACACATAAACAGAAGCCACCATGCAGCTCTTGATGTGAGGAGAAGACTGTATTAAGATTCTCCCTATTATCCAGTAACTGCATAAAGTCTTGGGCCTTTCCTCATACCTATTTGCTAGTTCACCTTCTGTGCTCAACTTTCTGTCTTTTTCTACAGCTGAATCTCCTCGGTCGTAACTAGCACCGGCTTAGAAAAGCACACTTCTGCACTTCAACTACAAACTTATGGCTTACCACAATTTACTCAGCCCTTCACCTAAACAGAAGAGAAAAAAGCAGATGGTTCAGAGAAGTCTGACCTTTCAAGCAGGTCCCACATAAATATCCTCCTTCTCCAACTCAGCTCTTTGCTTGTAGGTAGCTTACACACAGAAACACAAACACAATTTACATTATCTGTTTTATATAAAATAATGCTGTTAACTATGTAACACAGCACACGCAAAACACTGACATTATTTCCCATGGTAATATTGAAGTTAAGTGAACTTAAGGACAATAAAGGCATATTTTACCCTCCACAGTTCTGTAGCAACTGGCTGACGTGGTGGGTTATCGCAGTATATGTCTTCCACAGCCTCCCTCCAGAACTGCATCCGCATCAAACCTGTAGTCTTCTGAGTTATGGAGTCTTTAATCTGGAAAGGACACATCTGGAGTGAAATTCACAGTGTCTTTAAGACACTTGGTCTATCTATGCTGAAAAGAGACACAGGACATAGCCAAACTCAGTAGGGAAAATGCTCAGTTTTCAATTGATGTTTATTCCCGATACAGCTTGTGAACACTACATAAACTAAAAAAGAAATCTTCCCCACAACCTGAACTTTGAAACCCATGGAGATTAAGTCTTGGGTGACCCCCACCCTAGCTTTCTTCCCAGAAGGAAAGGAAGCAGTGGTGCCAGCAGTGCAGGAGAGCACATCATGGGTTGCCAGAAGCACAGCCTACAGGAGCTGGTCAGGGGTTTAGCCTGGTCAGCTCATTTCCTGGATCACTCCTTTCTGGCAAGCGTTGCCAAGTTTCCTGGCTGCACTGGCAGTTTCTGGCCACCTAGCAAAGGAAAGAGACTGCAGCCACTCCTCTCCCACTACACTGACAGCAAACTTCCCTCCTGGCAGCCTTTCCCTCACCTTGCTTCTGCCAACAAAGACCTGGTCCTGGTTATATCAGCCAAGTTTTTGACAGACCTTCTACAGACAGGATTTAGCTGCACTTTACTGATTCAGTCACTGGTCTACTCTGGCCTCCAATCGGGAGGCCTGGAGACACACCATCTATAACGCTGCTGATGCTTTTGAGAAAGCATGCAGGATCACCCTTGAGGAGAAAAGACAACGCAGAAAGAATCGTGCCTTGCAGAATATACCATCTAAGGAGTCTTTCTGCTGTGTTTTTTGCAACCAGTCATGCCTATCTCGTATTGGCCTTTTTAGCCACCAACGCGCTTGCAACAACCGTGGGTAGAGCCCTTCCCAAATCTTCGTTCGCGAAGCCTAGCCATGACTGATTCAGTCACTGCATGTGAAGCCAGGATGAAGATGCAACCACATAACAGTATCAAGGACCACTGCCTGTTATAATTGTTATAATTTAATTTTAATTTTAAAAAGTACGACAAAGAGGAAAGCCAGAAAATCTATACACATCAGCAAAATAACTGGGGGAGGCTGGCTACTTTCCATGGGCCATTCAAAACTGGAGGTTTGTATTGCACTAGTTATTCATTACCCTTCACAATACAAAAAGTTAATCTTGGCAAAACACAACCTACTAGTGTAATTTACAATATCAAAATCGTTATTTTACATTTCCAGAGTTCACAAATATATTTTAATACCTGCCTGAGCCAGTTCCACATTGAAGGCTCTCAAGGCAAAAGCAGAGGTTCGAGATTCCGCAGGCAACAGCAGAGAACACAGAAACCCTTCATAGTCACGCTTTCTATAAAAGGATGAAAAAATATATTTGTTACTTATAGCTCTATGTATATTGGGTGTGTTACTGCTTAGCACTGAACTCCTGAAGGAGTAGCAATAAGTTACAGTTCAAAACTTTGCAAAAGTAGCGGTTTTTAAGCTTAAAATAAGACAAACTCCAAGAGAGAAGGGAGGTTGTCTGAACTCTCAGTGCACCTCTGAAATCCAGATCTCAGATATCTGACTAAAGGCAGAAGAAAGGCTGTGGCAGAAGAATCCAGCTTGTCCGACCTCCAGATTTCTGTTCCGAACATGAAACCACATTTCTTTAAAAGATTGTGCTTTGGAGCTTGGCAGAAGAGTGCTCACTTAACCATTAAGTTTTTGTTTATATTGGCAATTATATTCAAAGCATAAAAACTCTGGGAGCTGGCAGTTTCGCTGCAGGCAACCCACTGTCACCCTGCAGTGACATGCCATCATTTGGCCACATGGGTGTTCCATGAAATTAAAAACAACACGGTGCACAGAATCACAAACTGCAAATTCAGACATCACTGCAGCTAATAAAATCACCTGGCCACTTCCGAAAAGCTAAACTGCTTGTTTTGAACAATGTTTTTGCGTACTTTCTGATAAGCCTAAAACCTGATTCTTCGTTAGAACAAGTCCAACAACTCCAAGTTTCGCCTGGAAAGTGGAGAAACAGGTGTCAAGGAAAACACATTTGCTCGTTTTCATGAAGTTTGCTGTTCTTCCATGTACTCATATTTCTTTGGAATATGAGCTTAAAATACCAAAACCAAACTAAAACCAAGGGTTTTAGTAGGGTTGCTACTTTTAGCATCAAACAAAAAGGAAGTGAGCTTTAACAGAGGTTCTTAACCCTACAGCAGCTGATAACAAACACTTAAGAGTTTTCACAATGATTGTGAAACCTGTTTTAGAGCTTGATGCAAATCCACAAACGTAAACAAAAAAATTTACATCTGTGAATTTTAGCGGGCTTTAAAGGTCACATTCGTATTAAAGAACAGATGCATCAAATTTCCCTTAATTAAGACAGTTTCTGAACTAGTATTTTTTTCAAGACTGACTGTAGTAATTCCAAGTTTTGCCCACTCTAGGCAGAGCTGCAAGGTTTACAGCCACATTTTCCCAGTTCCAGTTTGCCTGAGTTGTTCACGCAACACCTCTACTTTCAGAAAGAAACAGGTTACACAAAGTACACAGCAGTACAATAGAGAAATTTGTCTTCCCTAGAGTAATGGTGTTGACATGTTGGTTTTCTAGTTGGTTGTTTTTTTCAATTATTCCAAGCTTAAAAATGAAGTGTAGCAAATCTATTTAGCCACAGAATGTAAAATAAAACTGATATTGCTATAGATCATGTTTCACCCCAACTTCCTTCATGTATTAGTGTAAGGAATGAAGAAAGAAGGGAATGACCTTAAGTCAGGTATTGAGTGTTTTTTGTAGTTTTCCTCTCACATAAGTATATGTTATGTATGAACCCACACACAGAAGAAAAGCTGGCTATGACCATTACTGGACTTTCAGTACAATGAATTTCCTCCATGTTATGAAACTCCATAATACCATCAAGCCACAAGCTTGTCTTCCAGAGCAGACACCATAAGCAGCAAGAGACAGAAAACATACCTACTAGGGATACGTATTTTTAACTAAATAGCTTTAAGTAACTTTTAAAAGAGTTGCTTAACATAAAAAGGAAAGCCCAAGAGAAAGGACATCTTCCATATTGCAAAAACTTGCACAAATGTATATCCTTAAAGCATAACTCATTTGTTCTTCTTAGTGTGTGGGAGAATTGAATTGAGGACTAGGGAATTGCTGATGCTTGCACAGCCACAGGTGTTTTATTTCTGTTTGAATAATAACTCCTTTTTCTTTTTTTTATAGTTTATTATTTCCATGCAATATATGAGCTACTGGGAACAGCAGCTTCAATTAAATGAAGCCAAAAGCATAACCACCTTCCACTTTACTATTTTGAATGGTCATGTATTTTTCTAACTAGTCTTTTTATCATTTAACAAAAATGTATATTAAAAAAGTTTTAATTCAACTATCTCAGCTCCTGTGCCTTCGAACCTAACTATTCTGTTCACAGTTGTTTGTTACTGAAAACATTTTACTTGTATACATTACCTTTATTTGTATATTAACTGCACAAACAGTCTCTGGTCTCTTGAGTATCAGGTGAACAAATCCTGGGTAGAGTAACTAGGAAAAGAGCTATATTCTGAAGCTTTATCAAGGAAACTGCAACCTGCCTGTGTGCTCTGGTGCATCCGTATAGATCTGCTGTTTTTTGCTGCACTGAACATTTAAGATTGTCCCATTTCTTTCCATTAGTTTTCCTACCTCAGGCATTACTGCTGACCACACACACCTTTCTGTCTTTTACAAGCATCACTTTGGAAAAGACGATCCCGTTCCATTCTTTCTGTACACACTTGGAAGCCGCCTCCCTGCTTTTGTCAACATCCAGGACAACAGTATCCAAAGAGAAATTACTTAGGTCTTTAAAAAGAGACTTGTTAAACGTTTTACTTTGAAAAGAACTGAACTTCTGTGGATTAGAAAGCAGTCAAGGGGCTCTGCACGTTGTTTACAGCTCAGAAGCCCGGCAGGAAACGTGGGTTTGCCTGGAAGTGCCTGAGCTGTACTCCTGCTCCTCTTGGAGCACTTTAGATTTGACAAAAAAATGTATGCATGCTTCTGGAACATAGCCTCCCTCCTGCATTCAGGACAGAGAAGGTACTGAGCTGCCTGTCCAGCTATCGGATATCCTCTGCTTTTGCCCATTTTTCTAGGAAGCACTCGGGAAGCTTGGCTGTTTCCCAGCAGCCAAGATGATCTGACAAAACCCATTATTTTTAAACAACCACTTCAGTGATCTCTCTCTCCAAAATCCCGAGGCAAAGAAACTGAAATGTTCAAAATTTCTGAAGAAATGCAGCAGTGAAGGGGCGGGGGCGTGTGTGGATTGCCGTGGGAGGCTTCCCAGGGAGGTCGTGGGAATCTCCTGGAGACATTCAAATGTCTCTCCGGGGACATTCAAAACTCACGTGGACGCGTTCCTGTGTAACCTGCCCTGGGTGACCCTGCCTTGGCAAGGGGCTGGACGAAATGCCTTCCAGAGGTCCGTTCCAACCCTATCGGTTCTGTGATCCTGTGTGCAGGGTAAATCATCCACGCAGGTTAAATATCCGCCTGCTTTCCACGCTCCCAACACGGCGCGGTCCCGCCGGCCCACTGGCGCCGGCCACTGGGACCATTTTCGGGGCCAGGAGAGGCCAAGGGCGGCCTGGGGGAATCCCAGTCCCCTGAAAAGGGAACTCGCCAGCTTCCCCATCGGGAGGGAAGCGCTGTCTAGCCCTCCTGGGACAGACTCGGCGCCTTCCCCTGCAGAGCGCGCACCGCCGCGCCTGCAGCCCCCAGGCCGCGGGCACTCACCGCACCAGCTCGGCGCAGTACTGCACCGCTCCTCCGGCCGCCGCCCGGCTCCGGCTCCAGTCCGCCGCCGCCCTCCCGCCGCCGAGTCCCGGCGGCCGCGCCAGGCGGTGGCGGAGGCCGATCCGGCCGCGCCGCAGCGCTGCCCCCGCCATGGTGCCCGCCATGGCCACAGCCCCGCTCCGCCCCGCGCAGCGCGGGGGCCGCCGGCAGGTGGCACCCGCGGAGCCGCGGCCGGGGCGCTGCGGGAGCCCCGCGGCCCTTTGTGTGCTGCAAATGGCGCCGGCAAAGAGCCGCCTTCGGCTGGGTTTCCACAGACTCTTGGGAGAATTCCTCCGTTCCGTGGGAGATCGGGCACTCTGCTGGGGGCGGAGTAATTCGAAAGCGGACCGGCGGATAAGGACCTGGGGGTGCTGGTCGAGAGCCGACTGAAAATGAGCCAGCAGTGTGCCCGGGTGGCCAAGAAGACCTTTGGCATCCTGGCCTGTATCAGGAATAGTGTGGCCAGCAGGACCAGGGCAATGATTGTCCCCCTGTACTCAGCACTGGTGAGGTCCCACCTCGAGTGCTGTGTCCAGTTCTGGGCTCCTCCCTACAGGAAGGACATTGAGGTGCTGGAGCAGGTCCAGAGAAGGGCAACGGAGCTGGGGAAGGATCTGGAGCACAAGTCCTGTGAGGAACAGCTAAGGGAGCTGGGGTTGTTTAGCCTGGAGAAAAGAAGGCTCAGGAGTGATCTTACTCTCTACAACTCCCTGAAAGGAGATTGTAGCCACATGGTGTTTGGTGTCTTCTCCCAGGCAACGAGTGACAGGATGAGAGGACATAGTCCTAAACTGCACCAGGGGAGGTTTAGGTTGGACATTAGGAAGAATTTTTTCACAGAAGGGGTAATTTGGCACTGGAATGGGCTGCCTGGGGAGGTGGTGGAGTCACCCTCCTTGGAAGTGTTTAAGGAAAGACTGGATGTGGCACTTATTGCCATGGTCTAGTTGACATGGTGGTGATCAGGGTTAGGTTGGGCTTGGAGGTCTCTTCCAACCTAATTAATTCTGTGATTAGCTTTTTAAATCTGATGCCCCAAAAATTTGAGGAAGCTGAGTTCTAAAAGCTTCCTCCCTGTGGACAGTGTGGCATAGAAGCAGCTGAGAGACCTGGAAAAGTCTTAGGGCTGATCTGCTGTGTGAGGGAGTAGAGCAGAGCAGTTCTCACTGGGCAGCAAAGCTGGCCCCAGGGCTCTGTCCTTAGTAAAATGTGGTGTTTAAGGTTTGCATCAGAAGCCCTATTTCTTCCTTTTGGCTGGCAGAGGGGATCCTCCCACCTTACAGGTTGGCTGGACTTTTATTTAGAGATAGAATTAGTCCCATAGGCACGGATAGAGCATCTGTGCTTCCTCAAAATTTGGCCTATATGGGAATAAGCCAGCAGATTCATAGAATAATGCCACTATGCTTAAAAGCAGTTTCATCTTGAAACTTCACCAGCCCAACCTATTAGTAGCTAACCCAAGCTAGCTGTTACTACTAGAAGAGACACAACAGCAGTCCGGCTTTTCTTTCTATCCCCAGCCATGCCATCCTCTTCCCTGGTGCCACCTTTGACCTTTGTTTTATACTACAGTGAATTGATTCAGGTAGTTAAACCAGCAGAAACCTATCCACTGCTCACTTTTCTTTTTCACAAGTTCTTTATCTGCCAGTTTGGTGCCTTGAATCAGTTCACTGCATGCTCAGCTGAGCGTCAGCGCGAGCAATGGGCTGTGGAGAGGGTAGGATCTCCTGGTTTGTGCGCACCAATACATATGTTCATTAGCTTAGCTGCAAAGTGAAGCCACACAGTAAATACAGGGAGAGTTTTGAGTGGGCAGTGATGTTCAATGGACAAGGCATCTGTTTGGAAATGAGAGCAAGCCCTTATTTTGTGTCACAGAGGCAAGGAGGAGTGGGAGGTTAGGGATCATTTAAGCATTATTTATTTTATTGATTAGTGGCTCTTGTGGGCTTACCCTGAGTCTTTCTTCTTCCTTTTCCCTCATCTCCAAAGTTCTCTTTGTCTTGAAACTCTGAACCTTGTTTTAAACCCTTGCTATGCCTTGAGCAGGATTTATTGTTTGTCAGGACACCCAAAGGAGGTCATTTAGCTTTGGGTGGAGGCTGAAACTGCTTGTTTAAGTTTTCAGAGAGAACCCCTAGATAAACGAATCCAGCTCTTTCAGCTGCTGCCAATTCCTGGCAGAAGGGTTACATAAACATACTCTAAACCTCAAGGGTATTATAAATAAATCTTTTAAAATATTAACTTTTTTTAGTCTCTGAATGAACAAAAATGGTGCTAAACTGATTTAAACCTGTAATAAGAAAAAAATAAACCAGTTGTTTATAAAAAACAATCCCAACCTCATTCTCAGTGTGCTGACATATGTTTCTTATTGTTCTGTACCTTTACTGTTCTTACTAAATTACTTTTTTTCTTTAAAAAAATATTCCATGTGTCATGTGTAGTTATTGAAAAGCTTCTTCAAGACTGTATAGATTCTAGTAAGTTAGCTTTTTGTGCTGCCAGCTCAGTGGAAGTAAGGATTTGGCTTAATGTTTTAGTGAGTTTTTAACACTATATAAAAATTGAAGTATTGTAAGAGTCAACCACAAACCTTTTTTAATTATCTCCTTGTGTTAAGGAGCACATTTCATCACCTTTTCCAGTATTTCCCTCAGAAGTTGAAAAGTGACTGCCTCTCTGATGTGTACTTCTTACTGAAGTATTGTGTCCCTCTGACTCCTCAGACAAAACTCTGAAATCCTTGGACAGCAGTGCTAGTGACAGCAATGGCTGGTTTAGGCAGAGATAATTCAGTTATTACTCTAACCTGGCATTTTTGGGGAAAAAACCAAACAAACAAGTTCCGGACAAGGAAAACATGGAAACACTGATCAATTATAGCTGACTCTTGTTAAAAAAAATCCAGATATTATTTGTCAACACAGAAATGAGAAAAAGAGACCCTCATGGTCAAACACAGGTTGAAGTTTAGGAGGTCTACATATAGTCATGTACCAAAAAACTCTTCGTGCAGAGGAGAACAGAGGGGGAGAGAGAGAGACCTGCCTCAGAATATCCGGTGACCAGAGCTGGGGTGTTCATTGGGATGTAGGATGGTCACTGGGATCTCTCATCTCCAGTGAAGAGAGCAGAAATATGCACAGTGATCTGGCAGGTCTGTTCTCTACATTTACATGGGCAAGGATATATTCTCCCTCTCATTTTCCTCATCTGAATAATCCTGGATTCAAGATTATCAGAGTTAAAGAAAAATTTGTGTGGGCTAACAACAGTGTTTCCTGCCTAGTTCCATGCCACAGTGAACAGGCCTATGCAGTTATTTTACCTGAACTACTAAAATTATTCAACCAAAAATCTTTGTTTAAAGGAGTGCACTAAGAAAATGTGTTTAATGGCAGTTGTTTCAGTCATGGCCACAGAATAATACATTAATGCATGTGCTAATAAGCACTAGGCCACTTTAAAATGCAGTTTTCCCATCTTCCATGGTTTAATCATCTCAGTCTTTAATTACAAAGTAGATGAAAAGTTCCCAAAGGATGTTGCAGTGAAAGGGTTTCATCTTTGTTTGCAGCTGCATTTTTTTATTTGTTGTATGTTTGTCTGTAGATAAATTGCTGGTAAACTTTTGTTTATTTCTTGTTACTATTGTGCTCTTTCACTCCCTGGTTTCAAGCACAAATGAGGTTGTACAAGATGGTGTGCTAAAAGCAGAGGGACACAAAGGTCTTGGTGATTTATGGAGTGTGAGGACCACTGCATGCCTCCTTGGCTTTGTGCTACAGGACTGAGCTGGAGCGACTGTCCTTCAGAATGAAAAGAAATTGCAATTTTTCCTTATCCACTGGCACCTTTGCCAACCATGTGCATACACCACTGCACTAATAGGAATTGCTGCTCATCTGACATTCTCAAGCCTCCTGTGGTTTTACCTGGGATTGAGGTTTACTCTTATGAAACGAATGGATCTATCAACACACTTTACGTACACCATCAAGTAAAGGCCAGGTATTACCAGCTCCCAATTACTTCTGATTCAGACTGCAGACTTGTGAGTGAAACAGTGGATGTTCAGGTCACGCAACTTTTCGATACCTATCTTTTGTTAGGATAGTCTCTTATCTCTTTTTAAACAGCAGATTAAAATAGGACTTCTACAGACAGTAATTGAAAATACAGACATAGCTTCAGCACTCAGATCATGCTAATTGACCTTGGTCTCTAACTAACTCTCTCCTGGCTGTATGTTATGGATGATCTCTGACCAGGAACCTCTACACAGCTGTGCCACATTCTTTGATCACACAAGCAGGCAAAAGCAGAACTTGGGGCCAAGTTTTCAAGTGTTTAGTGCATCCTAACTGCCCAGCTTCCATTCTGAGATCAAAATAACACCTTCAGAATTAAAAGGCCTTTTCTATTAATCTAATGAGTGCCTTTGAAAATCCTGCGCTCTGTGGGGACAATGTAATCTCTTCAGAATTTTGTCTCTAGTTTTTAAAGACCCATCCTAAAGCATTCATGCTGCCATGAGAAGAGGTGATTTGCTTGGCTGCCCTTGCACAGGAGCTGAAGCCCACACAGACACAGTTTAGTTCCATATTGTTGGCTAGTGTGACACACTTACAATATCGGATGCAAATACAGTTAATATTTGAATGGAATCACAAAGTGTGTGCTTTTAAGATAAAGTAAAGCCAAGTCCTCTTGCTGCCGCTTTGGATGCAAATTTTTTGTAATGAATTCTTGGGTTTGTCTGTATCCCTTATCTTGCACCTGTTATCATCTTTGTTGTAAAAAGCTTAGGGGTGAGCTTGCCAAATGATACGCCCCATCTGTGCTACCTGGATAAACAGTGTTAGCAAGAAACATGCAAACTGAAAAGTCACAAGTTCTTGACATACAGGTGCCAGCACTTTTTCTCTGGCTAACAAGGACAAGGTCTTTGTGTTCTTTCAACCACTTGCCAATCTGTTCTTTGAAATTGTTGTGAAGTTGTTGGGAGGGAGATGAGAGAGAGAGAGAAAGAGAGGAAGC